TTTATAATATTTTTTAAAAAAATGTTTAATTCATCTTTAATCTGTCAATTGAAGTTACAATGGATTTTTTTTGTTAGTGTGGAAATTAAAAACAAAACAAAAAATCTAACGTGCACATTCCAGTCTGTATAGAAATGATGGCATAAGAAACTATTAACTGATAACAAGGGAATCACTTCAATAGTTTTCAGAAAGTGTATAATGTGATTTTTGTGTCTTCAGTGATGTAGACGTTCTTCAGTTTTTTTTAGGACTAAAAACTTAGTTATACTGTACGTCTGTGGGTCTATTGTTGCAAAGCTAGTTGGAAGAAACGCCCAGTCAATCTCATCCATACCTTCCTTGTGCTCACCAAGAGAGGCTACATATCCAATACTGGTGTATTCAATAAAGCACTGCTGACTGGGGGATTCTGGAAATTGAAATATACACACACCACTTTATAATGCCTTGGTAAGGCCACACTTGGAGTACTGCATCCGGTTTTGGTCGCCACAATGTAAAAAAGATGTTGAGACTCTAGAAAGAGTGCAGAGAAGAGCAACAAAGATGATTAGGGAACTGGAAGCTAAATCCAGTAGTGGGATTCAATTTTTTTTTACTACCAGTTCTCTGAAAGAGGCTTGGTGGGCATGACTGGGGAAGGATACTGTAAAATCTCCAGTCGGAGGTGGTATTTGCCAGTTCTCCAAACTATTCAAAATTTCCGCTACCAGTTTTCCAGAACTGGTCAGAACCTGTTGAATACCACCTATGGCTAAAACATATAAAGAATGATTGCAGGAACTGGGATGTCTAGTCTAATGAAAAGAAGGACTAGGGGAGACATGATAGCAGTGTTCCAATATCTCAGGGGTTGCTACAAAGAAGAGGGGAGTCAAGCTATTCTCCTGATCACCTGAGGGCAGGACAAGAAGCAATGGATGGAAACTAATCAAGGAGAGAAGCAACTTAGAACTAAGGAGAAATTTCCTGACAAAACAATCACTGGAACAGCCCGCCTCCAAAAGTTGTAAATGCTCCAACACTGGAAGGTTTTAAGAAGAGATTGGGCAATCATTTGTCTGAAATGGCATAGGGTTTCTTGCCTGATCAGGGGGTTGGACTAGAAGATCTTCAGGGTCCCTTCCAACTCAGTTTTTCTATTTTCTGTTCTATTCCATCTTAAAAGTGGTTGAGATTGAGAAACACTGCTCTAAGTCGTAACACATGGTTTGCTAATCACAGTTCCTGGACTTGCACTATACAGGTAGTTCTCAACATACGGCTACAACTGAGAACAGAATTGCCATTGCTAAGCAAGGAGGCTGTTAAGTGAGTTGCACCTAATTTTATAGCTATTTTGCCACAGTTAAGTGAATCACTGCCATTGTTAAGTGAATCATGTGGTTGTTAAGCGAATCTGTCTTCCCCACTGAGCTGGCCTGTTAGAAGCCGACTGGGAAGGTTGCAAATGATTACATGACCCTGGGATACTGCAACCATCAGAAATATATTGTAACTTCAAATGGTCAACGAATGATAACTTGAGGATTGCCTGCATTTGTTTACAGCGGTCAGGTATATATATAATGCTGATCTCTCCAAAAACTCCCAGTAATACACAATATTCACAAGATTAATACATCATAAGATCCATAATGGTCCATCCCTCTTGGTACCCCTTCATTGGTGACAGCGGTTATTGTTAAAATCACACTTCATAAAAGCTCTGAGGCAGCTGGGTCTCCACTGCTTTCTCAAATGTTATCAGGGAGGGTGTGGTCCAGGGCTTTGGGTATAAACTATTCCAGGGCTCCCCAAATTTTGCAGCTTTAAGACTTGCGGAATCCAACTTCCAGAATTTCTCAACCTGTCATGCTGTCTGGGGAATCCTGGGAGTTAAAGTCCACAAGTCTTAATGTTGCCACATTTGGAAAGCCCTGAACTATCCCATAGGAGTGGAGCCTAATGGGAAAACATTGTCTTCTGTCCCACAATCATTAAGGGAAGTCTGTCAACATCCTTACTTGGGAGAAATGAATTAGACAGGTCAATTCTCCCAGAGCAGTCCTGGGAAGACATGGATGCTGAGCCCTGATGGCATAAGGAACACGGATGCTGAGCCATGATGGGCTGTACGGATTGATTCAAGGACTCTGAATTTTGGTGAGAAACTTATTAGTTAACCAGCACTCAACATTGGTGTGGTTGAAAGGGCTGTCCTCTTATCAGCAAGTGGGCAGCTGTTCTACATCAAAGGTGGCCATGGCTCCCAAGTATTTTTTCAAATAAATAGAATAGAATAATAACTTTATTGTCACTTTGTACACTAATTGGCATACATTAAAATGGTGAGCATGCAGCTCTCAAAAGGTCACCACCTCCAATATATGCTACCTGAACATGACAAAATAAATACAAAATGATGTATATACCCACATATATGACACAAAGAAACAACAAAGTCCAGTTTGGATGTACACATGTGCATGGTGAGAAAAACGGATTTTGCAAGTTTACAAGATGGATGAACGTTTTGAAACCTCCCAGAGGGTAGCAACAAAAACAGACTGTGAAGTATGTGTGTGGAGTGTCTCTAACAATATTTTAAACTCTAAGCACCTAGTGCTTATAAGCAATATCCTAAATGACAGGTGGTAAGCTTCCTATAATCATCTCGGCTGTCCTTATCACTCTCTGTATGGACTTTCTTTCTGAGGAACTGCTGCCACCAAACCAAGCAGTGATGCAGTTTGTTAAAATGTGCCTCTGTAAAAAGTGGCCTGGACAGAAGGAGAAAGTTGTGCTCTCCTCATCCGATGCAGGGAATGCAGATCTGGTTTGCACACTTCACTAAGGATGACGTGTGGAGAGACCAGTTCAGATTGTTAATTATCTGCACCCCGAGGTATTTAATACTGTTGGCCATCTCTACAGCTGCATCTTTGGATACTGAGTGGAACAGGACTATGCCACTACTGTGTCATCCACATATTTCACAATATGATTCATAGCAGATTTGGCACAGCAGTCATGGGCATCAAGGTGAACAGTAGCGGGCTCAACAGAGCCCTGTGTGATCAAAATTCAGGTGCTTAGCAACTGGTTCATATTTATGACGGTTGCAATGTCCTGGAGTCATTTGAACAGCTTTTGCACAAACAAAAGTCAATGGGGAAGCCAGATTAACAACCAATTTAACTGCATTAATAACTAATTTAACTGCAATGCTTCACTTAACAACTGTAGCTAGAAAGGTTGCAAAGTAGGCAAAACTTACTTAACAAATATTTCACTTAACATAAATTTTGGACTCAATTGTTGTTGTAAGTCGAGGACTACCTGTATTCCTGTGGTAAACTAAACGACATTCTAGCAAAAAAGAGGATTGGTTTGTTCATTTGCTCTACAGTATGCATTATCAGACAACATGTTATTTTCTAATTTTTATTAAACAGTGACTTCTAACTTTTTTCAGATACAGGAAAAGTTACAACTTCAACTTTTTGCTTCCCATTTCTGCTTAATTGAAACCATTTATGTAACAACAAAGTGAAATCTAATACAAACCTAAAGTCAAATTTTAATTCCCCCGCACCCCCTTGGAGTTCAGAAGCTGTTTTCAGATGGAAACAAAACTAAATAAATTCTTTAATTAAAACAGTTTTGCCATCTTTGCCAACTCCATCGCCTGTACCATCCATTCTTCCATTGGGGGAGTCGATGTATCTATCTGCTTTGTGAATGTAACATTACTGCGGCCGTCTGCATATATAGTAACAAAATTCCAAATTTTCTTTCAATTTTAAAATCCATCAAACCTGAAAGAAAGACATCTGCTTTCAGTTTTATATTATATCCACTGAATTAAAATAAAGATATGATCTCAATATTTTTTTGATTTGCCACAAATTCACCGATGATAAAAAAACAAATCTTTACATTTACTTTTTCAACATACCTATGAAATTCCTTTATACGACTTTGAAACACTTTTTTTCCTAAGTGTCCAACAGCTCCCCCCTTGATAATGTCTTCTACAACTTTGCTGATATCCTTGTCAAACTCACCTGTCTTTACTCAACCACATCTGGCCACATACAAAACAGTATCTAGCATAACTGGGGGAAATAGGGGACATTCCTATGAAGGATTGAGGTCACAGGATAGTGCTGGTTTATCCGGAGAAGTTACTAAATAGGGGTGCAGTGGACAAGACAAATCCAGCAGAAATATATTCATGGCCTGAATTATGAACTCTAAATGAAATTCTGGCATGCTTAAACTGCGTTTGCCACACCATGATTAACTGCAGCATAGTAGTTAGATTCACACAACATAATAAACCAAAATGCTAAGAATACCCATTAACAGTATGAGAATTTGGCCAGAGGTGCATAAGATTGTTCTTGGGCTGAGTTCACAAACCTCAATTTGCCATTGAGGCAATCTCAGCAACTTGAAAAGGAGGGGACTTCAACTCCCAGAATTCCTCAGCCAGGAGAGGAATTCTGGGAGTCGTAGTTCACACCTCTTAAAATTGCCAAGATTGATAATAGCACGGCCACAAAGTACTCTTTTCTCATTGTGGAATTTGGAGGGCACTTAACGACAACTGTAGCATACACAAACCACAATTTAAGCCTATGGTGAGTTAAAGCAACGTGTGATCCAAGCTTCATGGTGCAAACTTCGTGCCTCCTCAAAAGTTAAGTGCGAAAGTGCACTCAGGTTAAGAACTGCACCCGACTTTTTGCAATTTTATTTATTTATATTTATTTTATTTTGTCAAGAGATTATAAGATAACAGGTATAAGAATAAACATAGTTATGAATACATGAAATGGATACATATAAGAAAAATTAAAAGAAACAATAGGACAGGGACGGTAGGCACGTTGGTGCGCTTATGCACGCCCCGTAATTCTTCCACATTTCGGGAACGGAGTGGAAGTCCCATCAGTAACGCCTTCAGTTGGCTCCCTCTTTCATTTTCACCGGCAGAGGAAGTTACTCTGCAAAGGGGGCGTCATCGCCTGGATTTCGACATGGCAGCGGAGGGAAGCGGGAGGAACCGGCCGATGGCCCCAGTTGCGATTCCCGGGGAATCGAGTAAGAAAGTTGTGCAAAAGAGCGGCCGAGTTATGTCCCCAGCGGAGAACGGGAAGGGAGGGAGGAAGGAGTTGGAAGTCCCGGCTCCCGAAGCCGTTTTATCCAGCCGCACCCTCGGTACAGGCAGAGGTGGATTCGAGTATAACGCGGTCCGTGCCGCTGCTTCAGAGTTTACGGAGCTACACTCGGAGAAATTGAGAAAACTAGTTAATTTAACCAGGAATCTGCGCATCTGGGCAACACAGTCAACGTATACAACCAATATACATAACCCTAGGCTATAGGATTCCACTGGGGAATGGAACATGCTTCTAACACAATATGTACAGGTAGACCTCAACTTAAAACAGTTAATTTAGTGACTGTTCAAAATTAAAAGGGCACTAAAAAAAAGTGACTTATGACCCCTTTTTCACACTTACCACCTTTGAAACATCCTCATGACCACGTGATCAAAATTCAGGTGCTTGGCAACTGGTTCATGACTATTGCTATGTCCTGAGATTTGCAACCTTTTGACAAGTGAAATCAGTGGGGAAGCCAAATTCACTTAACAGCCATGTTACTGACTTAACTGCAGTGATTCACTTAATAACGGCGGCAAGAAAGGTCGTAAAATGGGGCAAACCTCCCTTAACAAATGTGTCACTTAAAACAGAAATTGTGGGCGCAATTGTGGTCATGATCTGAGGACTACCTGTACTTTAAGCAAAGTATAATGAAGCAAGTTAAATGTGTAATCCATACATTATTTAAAGGGAGAAGATTCCTTTCGCAGGTTCTTTAGTCAATCAGTCCAAATGCTCTTGGGGTTCCTTAAAATAGAGACTAAATGATTCCTTGGCTAACTGGAACATGAACTAAGAAATCTTAATTGATATGTTCATGTAACCTACTATGTCCAATCAAATTAGTACTTGGGAAGTTCTCCTTAAGAGACTGATATTTGCATCTGTGAAACTTTTTCCCCTGCTTTTAGCGCAACAGAAGCTTGCGCTTATTCGGGGAGGTCAGAGCACAAGTGACAGGATTTCCAGATATACTACAAGGAGTCCTCAACCCCACAACCACCCGTTTATGACCATTCTCTTCCCCAATAAGGTATTTCTTAACACGGGTGTCTGATTCACCAGCCTAGGAAGAAATCTTCCCCAGAGGGAACTGTCCATTTTCCTTAAATCTCAAGACACCGGAAGCCGATATAACAAGTTTGAAGGAGAATGAATTAGAGATCGGTCCGATGCAAATGGAAGGTAAACGCCTGAAATCTTTTCTCTCCTTCTCCCAAGGCCTTTCTGACAGCATCTCATGCATTCTTCGAATTGGGAAAGCCTTGTTGTGGGGGTAGGTGAGAATTTGTTTATTTGTTCGTTTGTTTATAATGTTTATATAGCCACCCATCTCATAACCAACTTCAAGCAGTTCCCATATAACCCTGTAAGTCAGGGGTGTCAAACCCGCAGGCCAGAAGCATCATGTGCTGCCCCCACCCCCACCTGGTTTAGCGAGGGGGGGGGAAATGTCTCGATACGTCACGTGACGACGCCGTGATGACGCAAGTTTGACACCCCTGCTATAAGTGATACGATGACACCCCTGCTATAAGTGATACGATGAGTACATTTTGAGCACGAGTGAATGTTCTCCAAGCTTTCTCTGTTACTTGAATAGGGAAGAGTCCAGATATGCTGAATTTGGGCCTCCCAGAAGGTCCAACTGCAGGACAAGTGTATTGCGGGGGGTGGATTTCAAAGAACTCTCCTCACAGAGTTGTTGTTGTGGGGAAAAGAGGAGGACGAAGGAGTATTGTGTATCTTCATCGTCTTGAGTCACTTATAAAATAATAAAAGGAGGATCAAAAAAAATCAAATAAACTCATTCAAGAGCATCACTTTGTCAGTAAGGCTGCTCTGTGCTTTTTAAGGAGTCTTTTCGCTGCTCCTTTTTCAGCATCTCTGCTTGTGACACTGAATCTCCTATCCAGAGCCCAGTGATGGAAAACAACGTAGGAGAGTGCTAACTCCACCTTCTTCAAGTGCCAGGCCCAGGCGCCACATCTGTTCATGCTTTTTTTCTCTTGGCAGATTCATCAAGACTCTCTGGCAGCGATATGCGGCTTGCTCTCCTCACCCAGCCTCCTTGGAGCAGGTTGGCAGAGACAGCATCCCAGGGGAGCAAGCAAATGGGGGAGATGAGTCAGATACTGCCCAGGTGTATTCATTGAAAGAGCACATGTTCCGCATATTACAGGAACTCAGGAATAATGCAGATATCACCAGGTAGGAAGATACAAAACCAATTGGATCCAGCCCTCATCGGTGGGCCACTCTGGTTCCCCCTTTGGGAAGAAGAAGGCCGATTTCCAATCGACCTGTGATTGGTTGCATTTTGTTTGTTTGTTTATTGAATGTGTGTGATCCCATGTCACTATTGAGGGACTTTGAGAAACTTACATCATAAAGAAATGCAACAAAGATTATAAGGGGGCTGGAGGTTAAACCATACAATAAATGGCTAAAAGAACTAGGTATGTTTAGCCTAATGGAGAGAAGGCTTAGGGGTAACATGATAGCTGCCTTCAAATACATGAAGGGCTATCACACGGAAGAGGGGGTTGATTTATTTTCCATAGCACCTGAGGGCAAGATAAAAAGCAACTAGTCAGAGACTGATCCAACCTGGAGCTAAGGAGAAACTCCCCGAAAGTGAGAATGATTAATCAATGAAACAACTAACCTCCTGGAGTTGTGGGGACTCCATTACTCCCACCACCACTACTGGTTTACACGAAAAGATTGGACAATCATTTGGGATGGAATAAGGACTGCTGCCTTGGGCAGAGGGTTGGATTAAAAAATCTCTTAAGGTCCTTCCATTTCTATGCTTCTAGTAACCCCTTCCAGTGTGTGATTGGAGCTTCCACCAGGGCTCCAAGATCAATGGGCAAAGCCAGGTTTTCAGGCCCTTTCAGAAGGCCAAGAGGTTACGGGTGGATCTTACCTCAAGGAGCACGTTGTTCCATAGGAGTCACAGCAGAAAAGGCTATTCTGGACCCTGCCTGCCCAAATTCCTTGGCCAACGGGATCCTTCTGCTGGAGTGAGTGGGGCAGTCAATCCCACTGGGTTGAGATGGTTCCTAGGGGAGTGTTTGTTGCTACTCTTGCCTGAGAAAGCATATTCTGGATTAATAACACAGATGAATAATATCTGGTCTACTACATGGATGCATTTTCAACTGTATTTGATGATACAGTTCCTAAAAAGAAGAAAAAAAAAAAAGCTACTGTATGGAGTATAGTGGGACAGCCTACCAGTTCTATTATAAGATGCACCAACTACTTCTGGTGAAGGTGGTGAGATCCAGATTTTTTCTTCTGCCTCTAGTAAAATCCATTCTTCTCTCCTGGGCTTCTAATGATATTCAAGATCCATGAAAGCTTTTCTTTTTTAAATAAAACCTAGTTTGATCTGTTGGATCTGCTACTTTTTACATGATTTTGCTTTCTTTTCCAAAATTAACTTTTTATTGTACAGGTAGTCCTCGACTTACAACGGTTCATGTACTGACTGTTCAAAGTTACAACGGCACTGAAAAAAGTGACTTTCACTTCCATTTTTCACACTTATGGCCATTGTAGCATCCCTGTAGTCATGTGATTTGCATTCAGATGCTTTTGACCACTGACTCACACTTATGACGGTTGCAGTGTCCCAGGGTCACATGATCTTCTTTCATGACCTTCTGACAAGCAAAGTCAATGGGGAAGCCAGATTCACTTAACAACCATGTTAGTAATTTAACAACTGCATTGGTTCACTTAACAAATGTGACAAGAAAAGTCGTAAAATGAAGCAAAACTCACTTAACAAATTTCCCACTTAGCAGCGTAAATTCTGGGCTCAATTGTGGTCGTAAGATGAAGACCACTTGTACTGCCCTGAGATGTCCTTCTCCCATTACAGAATGGCAGAAAGCGTCACCAGTGAAAATCCACTCCACGGTCTGGCCAAAGTATCAGAGGAGATGTTTGCTACTGGGGTCAACTGGGGACGGATTGTTGTCTTCTTCTACTTTACATACGAAGTTTGCAGACAGGTAAGAACCTGAAGGCATAATGTCTGTTGTATCAACATCCTCAAGGAGTGGGCAGGAAAAGCAATATAAGCTGAAATCAGAGCGGGGTTTGTTGTAGTAAGACCCATATAATCAGTGCCAGCTTAAGGCAGAGTTGCTTTGGGGTAGACGGGCTTTTTGTGGGAGGACATTCTTAAAACTTTTAGTTGGGCTGAATGTCACAAAGGGAGAGAGGCCTATCACAAGGATGGATGCAGGTGGCAAGGCTGGGAGAAAGAAAAAATTGAGTTATTTTTGTATTTTAAGTGCTTATTTTAAGGAAGCAGCAGCATTTTTTATTTTTGTTCTGCCCCAGAATGATAGCTTTGATGTAGATTTTTAGCAGACATGGTTAGGGGAACTCACTGTGCTGCAGAAAAGCAATTGGGCAGATGCATGAGGCCCTTTTGCCATAAATTACTCTCCCTTGCCTGAAAGATTTATAAGGATGAAGCTTCTCTTAATTAAAATCTTTTATCTCTCCTTATTGGTAATCTTTACTGGCTCCTTCTCATCTTACTTGCATGTCACACTAAGAGATAGATAGTATAGTTTTTGCTTATTATCTCTGGGTCAGAGATGCTGTTTACCATGTTTGATAGCTATGGTTTGGCTTTCACTAGTTCACCTTATTCATGGCTTGGTGTCCTAGACAAATCCAGATTGCTGGCTAATTTTTAATTAAGGAACCATTAGTGTTCCAGAGGAAAGGGTATTTGGGAGGGCTCTGTACACTTGGATCCATTCATTACTAGTCGTGATGTCAAAATTAATGACATGTAAATAATCACCATGCAAATGATGCAATTGTAGGCTTGCGTCATGATATTTAAAGCTTCATCTGTGTTTGATGACATACACGATGTCATTTCCCCTTCTACAAATGCCAAATGAGACTATATTTCTTTTATATAAACACACCAATGGAGAGTTAAAAAGAAAGAATATAGGGAAAATTTCTATCTCCTATCGACATTGACTGTTGTTCTGGTCAAACCATTGTATACCTATTTTAAAGGAAAAACAAACAGAAAGGATACCTGAGTCTTTTTGGGTTTTTTTGCTGGGGTGCTTTATAATATTTGAAGCCTCTGCAAGATTTAAGGTGCCTGCCTGTTTTGTCTTATGGATTGTGTTCTTCAAATCTTCCAGGTGCAATTCGCCTCTGTCTTCACTCATCTCATTTATCCTTCACTCTTTCCCCACATATTTAGGAAAGAAATAGCACCCTAAATCACTAAATAATAATTCTTTTGTTTTGTGTGCCAGGCCATCCTAGCTTTTCAAACACAGAATTGACTGTGGCATTTTTTTCAAAAGGAAATCATGCACTCAACTCAGTACTAGAAACAGATTTAAAACATGGTTGACCTCTCTCTTTTTAAGTGGTTAGAAGAGTATTTGTTCTTCTGTAACTTAATGTGTCTTTCCACAGATTAACATCCTCTGATTGGGAAAAATTATGTCACTTTGCACACATCTCAGAATAAATCTGACACTTGATTTACTTCTGAATTGATAAATGTGTACAATTGCTTCCTTTGTTTGAAATGTCTATGATTACTGCAAATTAGGAAGTCCTAATTTACTGATCATCAGGTTGAAATGAGCTAGTGAATTCACAAACTTTGGAGTACATTCTATTGACCTTTTAGACAAGTAAGCTTAATTCATAGCCAAGAATCTCCTAATCTGCAAATCTGATTTTTCTAGCCATTATTTCCCTCAATATTTCTCTGTCCTCAATATTTTGACTAAAAAAAAAAAAGCTAAAGCTTATAAATTTTAGATTCTGTTTTGAATCATTTTTGCTCTTTCTTCTTTTCTACATCCATAGTGTGCCTCCAGTTTCTTTAGGGATGTGATGGACTGGGCCATGAACTTTTTAAGGGATCGGCTGGCTCTCTGGATCGAACAGCAGGGAGGCTGGGTGAGTGACATGGTTGAGGATCCTTTGAGTGTTTCTCTTATAGCCAAGATTTGAGAAGACTTTGTTAAAAATATAGATTTAGGTCAGCTGTGGAACACATTGGACCTCAAGTTCCATCAACCCCAATTAGCATGAATCCTTACTAATACGAATTATCCTGTAGCAATATGTGGAAAGCCACGGCATCTCCAGAAGATCCCATGACCTGGAAATGTTCAGCTCCTAATCAGAATAAGTAGGGCAACCTTAAACAAAGCCATAATGCTGTTTCATTCATTTTTTATTTTTTTTTTATTTTTTATTCTAGAAAAAACATTTATTTGACATACATTTAAAACAGACAAATCAATATATGTGTGTGTGTGTGTGTGTGTGTGTGTGTGTGAAGTTTTTGCGGGTACTTACATGTATGGCATTCAGCTTTGTTCGGGTATATATATATATACACATACATACATACATACATACATACATATATACATTTTACAGCATATATTGAGCAATGGTTAATTTTTTTTTCTTTATCATTGATGTGATCTGCCTTGTTACAATAACTCCTTCATTCTTTTAATGTTTTAATTTCTCTATATAGTTTATGATTAAATGCACATCTTCTGTCATTTTCATAACTTATCCAAATATCAAATATTACCTTTTCTTTAACCACTCATACCAAATGTTCCATATTTCATAATGGTCACTATCTTGTTTATTTTTTAACAATTTGGTTAGGCTATCCATCTCAGCACATCCATGTATTTTTTTAATTACCATATCCTCTGAAGGAATGGAAGACAGTTTCCAGTTTTGTGCGTAGGTTAGCCGCAGTTATGATATGCAAAATTAAATATTGATATATTTTCTCCATGTTTAAACCTATCATACTTAGCAGAAAGGTTTCGGGTTCAAATTTTAAAATTTGTTTCGTTATATTTAAAATCCAATTTCTAATATTTTTCCAAAACTTCTGAGCACATGGGCAAGTCTACCACATGTGAAAATATGTTCCTTGTGCGTAGTTACATTTCCAACAGTTGGGTGGTAGGTTGGGGAACATCTTAGCCAGTCTCGCAGGAGGTAGGTGCCAGCAATGAACCATTTTATATAAGTTTTCTTTATACAAGACTGACATGGTTAATTTGTAGTTTGTTTGCCAGATGTGTTCCCACTTATCTAATTCAATACTATGACCCACGTTTTTAGCCCAAATTATCATAGATTCTGTGACTGTTTCTTCTTTTAATTTGTAGTCCAAAAGATATTTATGTTTTACTAATAGTTTTCTTTTCCTCTCCTAGTCATATTTTATCTAATTCTTGTGGGGTCATATTAAAGCCAAATTGTTCTCTATCTTTTTTATAATGGGTTTGTATTTGTGTGAAGGGCCACCAAGCTGTCTCCTTTCCTTGAATTTGTATTTGGTTCCTATTTTTAAGCTCTCCAGTATCATATAATAAATCTTTATACCTGACAATATTTTCATAATCCAATACATTTGGATGTGTGACTGCTTCCAATGTAGATAGCCACAATGGAACCTTTGTGTAGTGGTTTTTTTTAATCTTTCCCCAGATATTGAACAACACATTTCTTACATGGTGCCTTTGGAAATATGAATGTTGTTTAGATTTTCCATCCCACATGAAGGCGTGCTAGCCAAGTTGGAGATCAAAACTTTCTAATACTAATAACCTTCTATTTTCTAATTTAACCCAATCCTTAAGCCAGTTTACTATAGCAGCATCATAATATAATTCAAAATCTGAAAGGCCAAATCTTCCTTTTTTTCTTGGCATCCTGTAATAATTTATATTTCGCTCTGGGTTTTTTCCTCTGCTATATAAATTTAGATATACATTTGTTTAATTCTACAAAAGAAATCTTTTCTAACTTGACAGGCACTGTCTGAAACAAGAACAACAATCTTGGCAAAATATTCATTTTTACTATCGAAATAGGTCCCAATAGCGATAACTGCAATTTGGTCCAATTATCTAAATCTTTAACTATTTGCGTTATTAACTTATCATAGTTATCTTTTTTAATCGACGAACATCTAGCAGTCAACCAGATCCCTAGGTATTTTACTTTATTTACCACCTACATACCTAATTTATTTGCTAGTTCTTCCTTCTGCTCCTTTGTACAGTTTTTTGTTAACACTTTTGTTTTTTCTTTGTTAATTTTTAACCCTTCCACCTTTCCATATTCTTCTACTTCTCTTAGTAGTATAGGCTCGCTTCTAAGGGTTCTTCTAATGCCATATCATCGGTGAATGCCTGGAGTTTATATTCCTCTTTTTTAATTTTTAGTCCTCTAATCTCTTGTACTAAGAGAGTCTCTTCTGCCAATATATACAATAGAAGAGCTAGAGGGCAGCCTTGTCTTACTCCCTTATTTATCTTGGAAAGTGCTCTACTGTGAACTCCGGGATTCGATGGTACACATGGAATTAGAGAAGGCATCATTTCATCTTAGGTTCCAAAATGTGGTGGGAGACAAAAAGGAAGATTTACGTGCAATTATGACGAATCTGATAGCGGTGGCTTTACAGAGATCCAAACTGGAAATTGAGAATGATGTAGATGAGGTCTACAGAGTATATACACACTATGCGAGGAGACATAGACTACCCGAGAGGTTCACATTCGATTTGTGAGGAAGACAACACAAGACCTGCTCTATCGTAAGACCAGAGATGAACCACTTGTATACAAAGATCATGAAGTGGTTACACTGAAACAAATACCAGGAGAGTCAGAGAGCAGAGAAGGAGCTATCAATTTTTATCAACTCATTAGAAATGGTATTCCATTTAGGTGGCTCACCCCAGAGGGGCTTTTAGTTTCATGGCAGGACAAAAAATACAAAATTGATATAATTGAAAAAGCACAGGAATTTTGTGAACGACATCTAGAACCCGAGGAAGAACAAGAAAGTAGAGACGACCTAAATACGAGAAGCCAAGAGGAACAACTCTCCAGAGAAAAAGAATCTGATTCACACTCTGAACCCCAAAATCTTAGAGAAGAAGGGGAAGGCAACAGACTAAGAAAAAGAGAGTCTAGAACAAGGAATGAAACAAGAAATGCCTCAGACAGTCAGTGACACTGATAGAGAAATCACTTTATTTTCAGTCAATATCAATGGTTTAAATTTATCATCAAAAAGAAAACAGATATTTGAGAAATACAAAAAATAAAATGCTGACATAACTTGTATCCAAGAAGTGCATATTCCAGACAATCAAACAGACCTCTTAAAGAATATAAATTTGGGTAGAATGTACTCAGCACTTGCAAACAAAAAATAGGGGGTATTGTAGTATACGTAAAGGATTGGTTGCAACATAAACAAATATACAAAGATCAAGAAGGGAGAATGTTCTTTATAGAAATAAATGTAAATCAGAAAAAGATGTTATTAGTCACAATATATGCCCTGAATACAAATCAAAAAGACTTTTATAACAGGCTTCACCATAAGATAATAGAATTTGAGTATGCTAATGTATGCATTGTAGGGGATTATAATGCCGTCCCAGACAAAGATAAAGATTACAGAACTTCCAAAAAAATAAAAAGGAAAGGAGAATACTCTGTCTTTTAATAATATGGTAAGAGAACTTAACTTGAAAGATGTGTGGAGAGAATTAAATCTAAATAAAAAACAATATACCTTTTTTTCGAACCCCCACCACTCTTGGTCCAGAATACATCAGATATGGATGGACCCTGGGTTAATGGAGAATATTGAAAGGATCGAGATTTTGCCAAATCTATGGGCTGACCATAATCCCACTCAAATTAAATCAAAAGGAAAGAGAAAAATTGGAAGATGGACATTTAACAATACCATATTAAGAGATAAAGAATATATTGAAATGATAAAGAAAGAATTGAACGTATTTTTTGAAATAAACAAAAGAGAACATACTTCTTTACAGAATCTTTGGGATACGGCCAAAGCCTGAGAGGTCTAACTATTGCTTACAGTATTAAAAAGAATAAAGAAAAAAGACAGCAACAAAACATATGGAGGGAGAAACTGAAAGGTTTGGAAACAAGTAGACAAAAGGACCCAAACAATTCAAACATTAAGAAAGAAATTGATCTGGTAAAACATAAGATAAATCTAAATGTACAGGAAGATTTGGCCTGAAAAATTAAATTAGCAAAACAAAATTATTTTGAAAATGCAAATAATCCGGGGAGGTGGTTAGCCCTTACAATTAAAAAAGAACAAGAAAAGAGAACGATCATAGCTCTCCAAGATCAGGAAGGGAAATTATGCACGCAGACCCAAGAAAAGAAAGAAATTGCTAAGGAGTTTTTTATGAAATTGTATAAACAGGAAGAAATACCAGAAGAATCTATTGATCAATATTTGAATGAAAAGAACTTGCCTGAAATTACTGATGAAGAGAAACAAAATTTGAATAATAAAATATCTATAGAAGAAATTAGGAAGGCAATTGGAACACAAAAAGCAAATTAGACCCCTGGCCCAGATGGAATTCCTTCAGAATTCTATAAGGAATTCCAAGAAACAATAGAGGAGATATTGGTGGACTTGTACAATGAAGCCCTGGAGAATGCTAACATGCCTAAATCATGGTTGGAAGCATATATTGCGCTTATTTATAAAGAACAATCAGACCCACAAAAAATTCAAAACTATAGACCAATATCACTTTTAAATGTAGATTACAAAATAATGGCTACAATATTGGCGGAAAGATTAAAGAGAGTGTTAAGTAGAATTCTCCACGCTTATCAGAATGGCTTCCTCCCCCATAGGCAAATAAAAACAAATACAAGAACCATTATGGATATATTAGAATATTATGAAGTATACTCAACCAAGACAATGACATTGATATTTTTAGACGCCCAGAAGTCATTTGACAACCTGAATTGGAACTTCCTTATTAAACAACTAATAGGCATGAAATTTGGTGAAAATTTTATAGGATTTATTAAGACAATTTATAACATACAAACCGCAAAAATATTAATACATGGGGAAAATACAGATACCATAAAGATAAATAAGGGCTGTTTCATTCATTTTACCTTAATGTGTTGTGGGAACCCAAAAATTGTGTTTGTTCACTAAACTATGATGCATAACCTGGCTAGTGTAGCTGATTCTTGTGCTTAGCTGATCTTTCTTTCTAACAATTGCATTTGTGTGGGGGTAGTTGTGTTATTCTCTGTTGAATGACTTGAAAAAATCATAGTTCATGTGGTTGTTGTCTTGAAACTGTTTGGGCAGCTTCTTCCCAAGAAGTCCAACAGGGGACAGACACGCCATTTTGTACACCCCAAAGCTGAGCTCAGAATCCTAAAAACCACCAGTTGTCTTTTAAAGAAATGTTTCTAGTCCTTAATACAGCAGAAGCCAGTTGGGTGAATTGTCTAAAAGTAGGAATTAATAATAAGATATTTTTCTGGGAGTCCATGTGACTCTAGCTACTTAGGAAAGTGGAAAAAATAAAATAGGCATATAATTTTTTTTTTAAGAATTCATCTTTTTATTGAAAAAAATAGATTGATTTTTAAACAATTACTACCTTGTTACTGATCCAAAACTCAACTGTGAACAGATGCAACACATTTTCTTTCAAATGGTACAATGTTAATACAGGTTCTTAAAGATACTGTTAATTTAAATGTTTATGCAGTAGATTGACAGCCTACATTTTCCCCTATTTCACTAGAGAGTTTGCTTCACAAGGACTTTCCAAATCCTTTTTTGGACACTTTCAAAATTTGCTATTGAGCTTTTGTTATGAATGTGACATGGGGAAAAGTATGAAATTGAAAATGTGTCTGGAAAATACATTAAATAGCTATATTTTTAACTCATGTTAATAAGGATTGATAAATGACATCAATCCAACATTTCATTTTTTTTCCTGGTCATGGTCACATCTTTTTGGAATGTGACTTTGGACATGTACCTCACATCATTGGAAGCTGCAGTGCAATCTTCATTCTGTTGTTCCTCCCAATGTTGTTCTTATTCCCTCTCATACAATACGGGTATACATGATTTACAGCCATTTGTTGTGGCAACTACTCAAAATTGCAACAACACTGAAAAAAGTGACTTATGACCGGTCCTCATGACCATGGCAACACCCCCACAGACAGACACATGATCAAAATCTGGATGCTTGGCAATGTATTTATACCAGTTGTGGTATCCCATTGTCATGGTATTGCCATTTTCAACCTTCCAAGGAGCTGAAGGACTGCATGATTCACATTACAGTGGCAGTGATCACTTAACAACCACTTTTCTTTGCAATGGAAATTCTGGTGTCAATTGTGGTCATATGCTGAGGATTACCTTATCCCACCAAATATGACTCATTTATATGTCCTCCCCCCCGTCCCCCCCCAGTGCCTGTTGCTTCCCCTGAATAGGTCATGAATGAGAAGTATTTACAGGCCATGGAAATCACACAGATCTGACTGGAGATGCTTTTGAATTAATCTACTACTTGCCAACATCCTCCCCTCTCCTTCTCCTTTTCTCCTTACCATAGCAGGGAGAAAACAGGTTTTTTTGCTGCCTGCCAGCTAGCTGATCATGGGGTAAAGTGGGTTGAGTTCACTACACTTAACAAGAGCTACACTTTTTGTAGCCTCGAAATCACAGGTTGCCAGCCCACAGATTAGGATAAATTTTACCGCAGTCTACATTAAGAGGCATGTCAGGCATTGCAAAAGTGTTACTGAACTATTTTATGTCCAACTTTTTTCCCTTATTTCTACAAAGCAGCATTTTTTACAGCACAGATTCAGGTTTTCCTAAACGATGAGATGAGAATGCCTCCCAAATGTGATGATACTTCTCTGCTGTGAAAAACTGCAGAGGTGAAACTGCAAAGGTTATAAAACAAAAAATAGAAACTCTGTGGAAACAGAAAGACAATAAAATATGGCATGGGAAACTTTTGTTAACTGTTCTCCTGCTGAATTAAATAATTTTTGCTACCCTTTGCATTCAAAATGCTTCCATTCTTTTTTTTTCCTTTTTCTTTTCAGAATGCTATACTAAACTTTTTCCCATCATCAGAATAGAAATGTGGAGAGATTGGTATTTCTAATTCCTGCTGTGTGGAAGGCTAAGAAAATTATTGATTCCTCTTGGGAAACCATGGATGGATTTCATCCTGATCAGAAATAACAATAAAATACAACTGTTGCTTGTTTACATGTCTTGTGACTCACTACAAGGCAGACTTCAGTTGAAGACAGGAGACTTCAAAAACTGTCACGTCAGAAAACTTGCTGGAATATCTGTGGCCTGTAAGTATAGGTAGTCCTTGACTTACAACAGTTCATTTAGCAACTGTTCAAAGTTACAACAGCACTGAAAAAAGTGATTTATGACCATTTTTTACACTTATGACCATTGTAGCATCCCCATGGTCACGTGATCAAAATTCAGGCGCTTGGCAACTGATTCATATTTACGACAGTTGCAGTGTCACAGAGTTGTGAGATCCATTTTTGCAATCTCCTACAAGCAAAGTCAAGATTCACTTAACAACCGTGTGATTAACTAAACTGCAGTGATTCACTTAAGAACTATGGTAAGAAAGGTTATAAAGTGGGGCAAAACTCACTTGTTTTCACTTAGCAACAGAAAAGTTGGGTTCACGTCAAGGACTACCTGAATTTTCCTCCCTGTTTTTATGTGTGTGTGTGTGTGTGTGTGTGTGTGTGTATGACAATTTTAAAGAGAACATAAAGATAAAACTAATGAATACAGAATAAAAAATTAAAGGATTTCTCCTGCCAGCCATGTCTGACTCTAGAGGGCAGTGCTTATCTCATTTTTTTTAGCCGAGGGAACTCCAGCATTGTCCAAAGACACTTCCATGGTCATGTGGCCAGCATGACTATGTGCTGGGTGCATGTTACCTTCCACCCATTTATCTGTCTGCATTTTCCATGTTTTCGAATTCTAGGTGGGCAGGAGCTGGGTAATAATGGAAGTTCACGCCATCCCACGTGCTCAGATCTTGAACCCAAGCTGTCTGCTTTCCAGCTGACAAGATCAGTGTCTTTAGCTGCTGAGACATCACGCTCCATGAATATGGAATAAAGAGAACAAAAAGAAAGTGAAAAATAAAAATACAAAAAGAAGGAAATGGTAGAAATAGAAAGAAGAAACTTCTAATTTCATGGAATCATAGAATAATGAGGCTAGAAGGGATCTTGGAGGTCTTCTAGTCGAACTTCCTGCCCAAACAGTAGTCTTGATAACATCTCAGACAAATGGCTGTCCAGTCTTGAAAACATTCAGTGATGGAGCACCCAAAACTCTGGGAGGCAAACTATTGAATAATAGTTCTTACTATCAGGAAATTCTTCCTTATTTCCAGGTTGGATCTCCTTCTGATGAACTTCCACCCATTGCTTCTTATCCTGCTCTCAGGTACTTTGGAGAGTAAATTGATGCCTTCTTCCCTCTGGCAGCCCTACATGTATTGGAAGACTGCTGTTGATTATTCGCTAAGCAACAAAGGAAAGGTATATCCTATGTACATTCAGTCTTCTTAAACATTACTATATTGCACATTCTAGGCATTTGATTGTCTTCTGTTCTGTATTGAGCAGTGAATCCTGAGATTTAAGTGATGACATTATTTTACTTCACTACGCTTCTTTTTTTTTTTATATATATAAATTTTTATTATTTTTTTAACATAAAAAACACAACAACAAAACATAAAAGTATCAGCTCCCCCATATTTTTGTACACACCGTAAGTCGGTTGGTCCATCGGTTTTGTGCATTCACCTCATAGTCACAATTACAGTTACTTTATATAATACTCTTATCAATACAAATTTATAAATCCTAGTATCTCTATTAAAGAAAAAAAAAAAAAAATTGACTAAACTTTTATTCGGTCATGCCTTTATGAGATAACTATATTTTAAATATTTTATTCTAAAACAAATCTTATAATCATACCAATTCTATCCCAAATATGAAAAAGAAAGAAACAAAGAAAACTATTATATAAATATAGTATCAAAAACCAATAAAAGGAAAGGGAAAATAAAGTCATTATTATTCCTTATTATCTAACTTTTATATTTTAATATTTCATCATTCAACCATTGATAGAAAAGATCCCAAACTAAATAAAATTGTTTATCTTCTTGCTCTCTAATTTCAAAAGTCAATCTACTCATCTCAGCACATTCCAAAATTTTCTTTACAACTTCTTCTTGCAATGGAATTTTCTCATTTTTCCAATTTTTTGCAAATACAATCCTAGCAGCAGTCAATACATTTACAATCAAATATTTCAACTCTTTACTATAAGTATCTGGTAGTATTCCCAATAGAAAAAACTCCGGTTTCAAGTCTATATGCTTCTTTGTCATTTTTTCCAGCCACATGTGGATTTTAGTCCAATATTTTCTAGCATCCTCACAAGTCCACCACATGTGATAGTATGAACCAGGTTTCTGATGACATTTCCAGCATTTTTCGGATTTGTTCTTAAACATTCTTGCTATCCTTGTCGGGGGAAAATGCCACCTGTAAAACATCTTATACAAGTTTTCTTTATAGGCTGTAGACATTGTCATTTTATAATTTTGCGACCATAATTTCTGCCATTTCTCTAAATCAATCCCATATCCAAAATTCCTCCCCCACGCAATCATAGTTTCTTTAACTTGTTCTTCCTCAAGCTTAATTTGCAATAAATAACCATACAATTTTTTAATCACCTTTTCATCAGTACCCATCAAAATCTTATCCAAGTCAGTTTGCTTATCATAAAATCCCTCTGCTTTGGAATCCTCATAGTACTTTGAATATATTTGCAAATATGAAAACCAATTCATCCGTATACCTTGTTCTTCCAATTTTTGCATCGATTTAAGTTCACCCTTTTCATCTAATAATTCCCCATAGTTAACTGTTTGTTCCTTTTTATAGATTATAGGATAAGAAAACGCTTCTATCGTCGATAACCAAACTGGAATTTTCAAATAACACTGTTTTTTTATCTTCTCCCAATTCAACCACAGAGACTCCCGTATATAATGCCTTCTAAAATACCCCTGTGTTTTAGTTCCCTTGTACCATAAAAAAGCATGCCAGCCCAACAACAAATCATGACCTTCTAATGTCAACAATCTGGTTTTCCTTAATGTTATCCATTCTTTAACCCACGTCAAGTTTGCAGCTTGGTAGTACAACTCCCAATTAGGCAGTCCAAACCCTCCTCTAAATCTAGCATCCTGTAAAAGCTTTAACTTTATTCTTGCTTTCTTACCTTGCCATATATACTTCAAAACAATTTTATTTAAATCCTCAAAATATTCTTTTCCAAGCCTAATTGGTATTGTTTGAAACAAAAATAAGACTCTGGGTAAAATGTTCATCTTAATTGTTGAAATCCTTCCTATTAATGACAATTGTAAGTTCTCCCATTTTTTCAAGTCTTGAGCTATCTGTTGTTTAAGTTTAATATAATTATTCTCCTTCAATGTACTACATCTTGATGTCAAATATATCCCCAGATACTTAACCTTATTTGTAACTTGAATTTTTAACAGTTCTGCCAACTCTTCCCTTTGTTTCAGCAACATATTCTTTGACAAAATCTTTGTTTTATCTCTATTTATTTTCAAACCAGCCACCTCCCCATAGACCTCTATCTTTTCCAACAGTTTCGAGGCTGTTTCTATAGGGTCTTCCAAGATAAAGACTAGGTCATCTGCAAAGGCTTGTAGTTTAAATTCTTCCTTTTTAATTTTCATTCCTTTTATAGTTTTATCTTCTCTGATATTTCTATTCAACACTTCCAAAGTCAATACAAATATCAAGGGAGAAAGAGGACAACCTTGTCTTGTGCCTTTTCTTATATTAATAGGATCTGTAAATTCTCCCTCCATCATTACCTTAGCTGTTTGTTCATTATAAATTGCTTCTATTGCCTGAATAAATCTTCTAGCAAAGCCCATCTGTTCCATTAAAAGTAACATAAATCTCCAATTCACGTTATCAAATGCCTTTTGAGCATCTAAAAATATCAAAGCCATTTGCTTTTCAGGATGTGCCTCATAGTATTCCAGGGTGTCCAGAATTACTCTCATATTGTCTCTGATTTGTCGCTTTGGCAAAAACCCATTTTGGTCTGGGTGGATAAAGTTATTCAAGTACTTTTTAAGTCTTTCTGCTAATATTGAAGCAAAAATTTTATAATCTGCATTTAGTAAAGAAATCGGTCTATAATTCTTGATTTGCAGTAGGTCCGCCTCCTCTTTTGGAATAAGTGTAATATAAGCCTCTGACCATGTTTTAGGTATCATCTTTTTTAACATAACTTCATTCATAACTTCTAACAGTGGAATACACAGTGATTCTTGAAAGATTTTATAAAATTCTACAGGAAACCCGTCTGGACCTGGTGCCTTTCCATTATTTTGTTTCTTAAGTGCTTGACTTAACTCCATCATTGTTATATTACTTTCTAGCATTTCTTCAATCTCTTTAGGTATCTTAGGTAGATTTGCATTCTGTAGGTATTGTTTAACTTTCTCCTCATCAATGTCTTCTTTCTTATACAAATGCTTATAAAAATCATAAATAATCTCTTTTTTTTCTTTGCTGCCATAACAAATTTTACCTTGGTCGTCTATTAACTGCGGTATTTTCCTCGACTCTTTCTCCTTTCTCAATTTGTATGCTAGCCATCTACCTGGCTTATTTGCATCCTCAAAATAATCTAATGTACATTAAAAAAAAAAAAAGGAAAAAAGAGAAAACAGGATCCAAATAGGCAAAAGAAAAAATAAAATCAGTTAAATCAAAATAAAATATAAGTAGAAAAAAGAAATTCAGAGGCTTCCCTTTGCAAATAAATCAAGCTTAAAAGTCAGGACCTTGATGTTAGTGAAGGGGTTGGCAGAACTCAAAAAAAACAACAACACTGCACTCTATTTAATTATCCAAGGCTCTAATTATAACTCCCTTCTCTTTCCCACAAGCTTCAAAGCTGAGCCATGTATATCCAGAAAGACACCTGTAATAATATTCCACAAAGTGCTTTCCTCTATCTTATCAGGGGATGTCCTTGAGAAGAAGAGTCTATTTTTCTTTTTTTTAAATATTTCCGAGCCTCTAGGTGGCAGTGTTACAAAGTATCATAATTCTCACTTTCCCCCCTCCTCTCTTAAGGGAAAGCCGGCTTGCAATACACAAAACAAAAACCGAAAAATCAAACAAAATCAAGAGAAGCCTCTAGCCCAGAAAAAAAAAAAAATAAAAAGTCCAGAAGAAGAATAAAACA